GCGTTCGTGGTGGTGAACACGCCCGCCAATTATCTCATCTGCGCGGACCCTGCCGTTAAATATCGGTGCCAAGCTGGCGATGTCCGCGGAAGGACGATCACCAAAGCGAAGTGAACGTTGATGATTCAGCCGCGCCGTCGTTTCCACGAGCGAGATCGTTATCCGCCAGCGTTGCGCCACGGCCCATGTCACCTCTTAGAAAATTACTCCAGGGGTAAAATTAACTGTGGGAAGCCGGCGATGACCCGTCTGATAGGGTTGCCACCCCTGAGGTACAAGAAAAAAACCGGGACATATATCACGGGAAGATGAACATCTCACAATAGCAGCAGAGGAGAGACCAATACGGAAATGCTTCGTCTTGAGCGGTGTATTATTATGCACAACTGACAAGAACTGATTTTTTGTTTGTTTGTTATATCCTGGGAAGCAGATTTCCCAGGACACGCGACACGCCTGAACAACAAGACGATCCTGAGAAAAGCAGGACAGGTGGCAACCGTCCGGTCTGACCACGCCAACTACAGGCGCCCGAGTTCCCGGTGCTCGGCGCCGGAAGAATGTGGGTGCACCGCACCGCGCCGCAGACTGCGCAGAGAGAGAGAGCTGCGCAGCACGGGGCAGGGAAGGGCAGCTCAGCCACTCACCCAGGCGACTGCTGGATTCGCCGGCCGTCCGGGCAGAAGCCGCTGCGCCCTCCTCCACACAGGTGGAGCGAGCGAGCGCACTCGCGCGTTCCCAATGCAGTCGGCGCAACGCAGATGAGCGGCGGTGGCGGCGGCGATTGATCGGCGGGGGGAGGCGAGCGTCTGTCGGCTGCCATCTCTCCCGATGATGCCGCTCGGGCAGAGAGGGTGGGAGCATCGCGGCTGCTCAGAGTGCGTGCGTGCGAGTGCAAAGGCTGCGCGTGAGTGTGCGCGTTGAGGCTGTGTTGCCTGCGTGTGACGAGCAGTGTGCGCGCATGAAGTCTTGCTTGCTTGCGCGCGCGCGCGTACGTGCGGTGGGTGCGTGCGAGATGAGTGTGTGTGTGCGCTCGCGTTATGAGTGCGCGCGTGAATAGTGCGCGCGCGTGGTTCTGAGTGTTATGAGCGTGGGCTGCGGTGGGAGCGGTGGGGATGGGAGGGGGAGTTTGGGCGAGGGCACGGTGGGGGCGGGGGGGGGGTGCAGTCTCCACAGGGAGGGCGCGGGGGGGGCGTTGAGCGAATGGGCAGGCGGTCCGTCAGTCATGCGGGGTGCACGGGATGGTGCGGGAGGGGGCGTTGTGGGGGGGGGAGCGGTGGGGGTGGTGGTTTTTTTGGCGTTGTGTGTGCGGGGGGGGGGGTGTGCAGAGTCAGGCACCCGAGAGGAACAAGCCACGAGTCTCGAGTGGGGAGGGCGGGGGGGGCTTGGATAGCAGGGGCGGTGCGCCGGGACACGCGAGGGGACTGCACGCGTCCATCCGTCCGTCCGCTCGCTCTCCTCTTCTCCCGTTAAGCCGCGAGAGAGCACCGGGGGATCGGCGGCGGTCGCCGTGGCGACGACGACGACGACGGGGCTTGGGTGGCGTGTGCGAGTTGCTCTGCGGCAGCGGTGGCGGCGGTGGCCTCGGCAACCCCCCCCCCCCCCGTCGCGCATCAGCGCCCGGCCCTCGCCTGCCCGGGCTGCCCCGGTCGCCCAGGCCGTCCCATCCATCTCCTCTGGCGCTCTCCACATTCACTCCAACCCGTCTTCAGTTGCTGAGAGCGGCAGGGGCTGGAGGCGTGCCCTTATCCCTACCTTCATCTTTCATAACAATACCTCCCTCCGTGCTTCTCTCTCTCTCTGGGGCTTTTTTTTTTAAGAAACGTACCATCAGATGTTGCTCTAATCGTCGTGCAAAATAGCAGCCGGGGTTGAGGTTTGTATTTTTTTTGGTATATTTCCCTTCCCTCACCAATTTTTTTGCTTCTTGCAAATTTTGCATTAGGAGCGTCGTCGCATCGCTGATGCATTGGATGTGTGGGATTTGAATGTATATTGAAGCAAAAAAGCCACTATATATACCTTTCAAGAACACCTTCCCTGCAGCCGTCTTGCAATCCCACAAATTAAGGATCAGTGTTTGATGCCAGCTTGAGATGCGAGCGATAGCATCTGTCACGTTATTGCGCAGGAATGAATCTTATTATCGGTCGCTTTGAATATCAATGCGTTATTTCAGGATATGAGATACAGGGCCACTCTTCTGGCCGGCTTAGACTTAAAATAATGAAACAGTGCAGGAAATGCTAACCACTCGGGCGGCGGGTGGGAAGACGGCAGGGCGAGCATCGCCGCCGTCGCCGAAGTGGTTCCATCACCGGGAAAATTCAACCTCCGGCTGACAAAATAATCCGTTGTAATAATTCTAAGAATGATTAGTAACATAGATAATGAGGGAGATTCTACACACTGTAACGCAGAGTTAAAGCAATTTCCTTTCCTGGGGTTCCAGGCTGTCGAGTTGAGGAGCGATGTTTATACGACGTTCAGGCTGAGGGTTGACGGGTGAGCCGGTGAGCGTCTGAAACCACCGCCGGCTTAATTTGGCCGCACGAAACGCGAGTGCTCGTGTAACAGCCGGGCACCGCGCTTCACCTCGGTGCCCGGCAGTAGAGCGGATCCAATCACGGAGAGATTTAAACATTTTTTTAATTAAATTCAACGGCGAGTGATCACCTTCCAACATTCATGCAGGAGCCACGAGTTAAAGCGGTGGTGCGGGACCCAAGTGCGACGCGCCCATACACAATGTGCGCCGTTAGTTTGGAGGTGACGAGGCCACGCAAAGTTATTCCGCGGCCTCAGCTTTATTGAGAAGCCAAGAGTTTTACGATATTAACACTTCGCCGAGCAACGCGGCTCCTGGAGGATAATGAATGAGCAGATTTGTAGGAGCAAGGAAAAAAAAAACCCTTGCCGTTTTCACGTGGAGCGCCCGGCTCGAGGCACACGTGCGATCCGTGCACGCGGCAGCGGCGGCGGTGGCCGCGTTTTGGTGGCACGGGTGCCGATTTCCTCGAAATTTCCGCCCCGAAGATGCGGCGACTCCCTTGTAAGGAAAAGATACAGAACGTCGTCTTTAGCCGAACGCATTCATTGATTGAGGAGTTGAGGTTCAGAAGTTCGGATTGTCCCCTGGGCAGTGCTGTCACCGCTTCCCATTGTCACCAATCACGCGGAATTACGGACGACTCTCGTGGCACAGAGCTAATTTGTGACATTAAATACGCGTATGGATTTTACACACAAATCACTAACGCCTGTCGCGCTGCCGAGTGCTCTGCTAGCGGCCGCGGTGGCGGCGGTGGCGGCGCGTGCGTGCGTGCGAGAAGCGCCCAACGGTGTGGGCTGGTGCCACTGAATTTCACTTTAAGTTGACTGCCAGAGACACGGCATGAAATCTTTTGTTGTTGTTGTTGGCGAGCTATGTATACACCGCAGCCGCAACAATGAGAGGTATCAACGGGCGGCTAAGGAATATGCTAGCTTTATGCGGAGAGATATTGAATGCGGCTCTCTGAGCGAAAGCTGAACTTTGCCAATCTCCCAAGGGCTTCCTTAATGAATGCAATGAATGCGGCTTAGAGCTTAGAGACTCCCAGCGCTTATAGGGCTGGGAGAGAGAGACTGCAGCGGTAAGTTTGTGTACAGGCACAGGTGAAATAGGGTTGGGGGCGGGGCCATTTTTGTCCGCTTTCCCGGTGCACTCTGGCGAGCAAACGCGGTAGTCGGCATGGAAATGGTACGGCCGGCGCCGATTGGCTGAATTAATGGATGGGCTGAAATGTAACATAATGAATGTGGAGGGGATTTAATTAAACGTTAAGTAAAAGCAGGAGAGGATTGTCACGGCGGAAGCGATGAGATGTTCGCGCGCAAAGCGTAAAGAATTAGCGCGAGTGCTTTCTGGTTTTGCGGTGGTTGGGTTGGGTTTTTTCGCGGTACTTGTTTTTTTTTTGTTAATTCTTCCTTTTCCCATTTTTTTTCGTGTCCTTGGCTTGCGTCTGTCTGCCACGGGAAGATCTAATTCGACGGTGATCGTGCAAGATGTGCGCCGTCATGGAGACGGCACAAGCGCGGCGAAAATCGAGATCCCGAGAGAGACGCAACGAATTCTATCAGACGGGCAGAAAAGGCCGGGGCCCGTGTCGGGATTAGAGAGTGCACGGGGAGGTCTTTGGCTCGTCAGGCGCCGGCTCCTTGATTGCTCAAGGTCACTGGAGGCCACATTTCCCTTAATCAAAAGCTCCACCGGGCACAAGAGGGTCCGGGAAATCGACCGGCCCATACAGCGACGGAGTCTACAGCCAGATTCCTTCTTCCCCCTGATTGCGTTGCTGCCATCTGTGAAGTCGTATTTGTTAATTTTTGGGGATTTCATATGAAACTGAGATAAAACTTGCAGTGGCTTGTTTTGTGATGCAGCGCTGCGCTCAACTGACGTGGGGAGCAACACGAGGTGACTTAGAGCAACACGAGGTGACTTAGAGCAACACGAGGTGACTTAGAGCAACACGAGCTGGCTTAGAGCAACACGAGGTGACATAGAGCAACACGAGGTGACTTAGAGCAACACGAGGTGACTTAGAGCAACACGAGGTGACTTAGAGCAACACGAGGTGACTTAGAGCAACACGAGGTGACTTAGAGCAACACGAGCTGGCTTAGAGCAACACGAGGTGACTTAGAGCAACACGAGGTGATTTAGAGCAACACGAGGTGATTTAGAGCAACACGAGGTGACTTAGAGCAACACCAGCTGAGTTAGAGCAACACGAGGTGACTTAGAGCAACACGAGGTGACTTAGAGCAACACGAGCTGGCTTAGAGCAACACGAGGTGATTTAGAGCAACACGAGGTGACTTAGAGCAACACGAGGTGACTTAGAGCAACACGAGGTGACTTAGAGCAACACGAGGTGACTTAGAGCAACACGAGGTGACTTAGAGCAACACGAGGTGACTTAGAGCAACACGAGGTGACTTAGAGCAACACGAGCTGGCTTAGAGCAACACGAGGTGACTTAGAGCAACACGAGGTGATTTAGAGCAACACGAGGTGATTTAGAGCAACACGAGGTGACTTAGAGCAACACCAGCTGAGTTAGAGCAACACGAGGTGACTTAGAGCAACACGAGGTGACTTAGAGCAACACGAGCTGGCTTAGAGCAACACGAGGTGATTTAGAGCAACACGAGGTGACTTAGAGCAACACGAGGTGACTTAGAGCAACACGAGGTGACTTAGAGCAACACGAGGTGACTTAGAGCAACACGAGGTGACATAGAGCAACACAAGCTGGCTTAGAGCAACACGAGGTGACTTAGAGCAACACGAGGGGACTTAGAGCAACACGAGGTGACTTAGAACAACACGAGCTGAGTTAGAGCAACACGAGGTGACATAGAACAACACGAGGTGACTTAGAGCAACACGAGGTGACTTAGAGCAACACGAGGTGACTTATAGCAACACGAGCTGGCTTAGAGCAACACGAGCTGGCTTAGAGCAACACGAGGTGACTTAAAGCAACACGAGGTGATTTATAGCAACACGAGCTGGCTTAGAGCAACACGAGGTGACTTAGAGCAACACGAGCTGAGTTAGAGCAACACGAGGTGACTTAGAGCAACACGAGGTGACTTAGAGCAACACGAGGTGACATAGAGCAACACCAGCTGAGTTAGAGCAACATGAGGTGACTTAGAGCAACACGAGGTGACTTAGAGCAACACGAGGTGACTTAGAGCAACACGAGCTGGCTTAGAGCAACATGAGGTGACTTAAAACAACACGAGGTGACTTAGAGCAACACGAGCTGGCTTAGAGCAACATGAGGTGACTTAGAGCAACACGAGATGACTTGGAGCAACATGAGGTGACTTAAAACAACACGAGGTGACTTAGAGCAACACGAGGTGACTTAAAGCAACACGAGGTGACTTAGAGCAACACGAGGTGACTTAGAGCAACACGAGGTGACTTAGAGCAACACGAGCTGGCTTAGAGCAACACGAGCTGGCTTAGAGCAACACCAGCTGGCTTAGAGCAACACGAGGTGACTTAAAGCAACACGAGGTGATTTATAGCAACACGAGCTGGCTTAGAGCAACACGAGGTGACTTAGAGCAACACGAGCTGAGTTAGAGCAACACGAGGTGACTTAGAGCAACACGAGGTGACTTAGAGCAACACGAGGTGACATAGAGCAACACCAGCTGAGTTAGAGCAACATGAGGTGACTTAGAGCAACACGAGGTGACTTAGAGCAACACGAGGTGACTTAGAGCAACACGAGCTGGCTTAGAGCAACATGAGGTGACTTAAAACAACACGAGGTGACTTAGAGCAACACGAGCTGGCTTAGAGCAACATGAGGTGACTTAGAGCAACACGAGATAACTTGGAGCAACATGAGGTGACTTAAAACAACACGAGGTGACTTAGAGCAACACGAGGTGACTTAGAGCAACACGAGGTGACTTAGAGCAACACGAGCTGGCTTAGAGCAACACGAGCTGGCTTAGAGCAACACCAGCTGGCTTAGAGCAACACGAGGTGACTTAGAGCAATACGAGGTGACTTAGAGCAACACGAGGTGACTTAGAGCAACAGTAGCTGGCTTTGAGCAACCGGTTTGATTGAATGGTTGAAATTGCAAACCAGGATAGTGCGAGTTGTTTATAAAGAAATGTCCGATCAAAGTCCTCCTCAAGGAGGTGGTCAACATTGGAATTTGTTTTGAGCCACCACGGTCACGTTACACCAATTGACATCGTCTCAAACCAATCAACACACTCCATATCAGTAACCCCAAGGCCTTAAAAGGAGAACATTTTTTATAGTAGGTGACGTTTCAGGCGGTGGCCCTTCTACTTAGAACATACAAAGGTAATAGCAGATAATAAGTGGTGGAGACTGCACTTTACACCATGGGGCCTGACGAGCATTCGATGTAAAAACGATGTTTTGATTAACAGTTTTCACATTTGCATATTAATAGTTACCTAATACGAGCTGGCCAGTGTAAGACGAAGCCTCCAATTGTCACAAACTATTAGTCCGAAATAAATGCATTTAAATGAAAAGTCAAATGATTAACTGTTGCTGGCACATTGCATTTTGGGAAGATTTGTTCTGTTGAGAACAAAGCACAATCCACTTAGCGATGCATTCCTGGGCTCAGTCACCGTCTCAATGAAAGGAATTCCCATCATCTCGGCTAAACACGGATTCTTCCCGGCGAGTCTAAATTACGTTTACGCTTTTATTGAACGGCGGTAACCTTGCATTAGGTGCTGTCTGTCCGCACTCTCCACTTTTACATGCTCGATCATTGTCTTTCACGGGCGCTGGAGATTGAACATTGGCAACGTCCAGAGGTGGACTTTTAACCAGCAGTGGACAGAACATGGCCGAGCAATATTTCTTATCACAGCGGCGCTTACTCGTGGAACCGAAAGCGCCGCAACCTCAACGAAAAGCCCTCGCGTGTACGGCAACGCTCCCCTTGAAACGAAAACGCGGCTCAGCTGGCCATTTGCGACGAATTTCCACGGTTGATTGAAATGCAACACTCCTTTTGCTTTGCTGGGAATGTGGCAGAGAGAGAAGGGACCCCGGTGGGGGTGGGGGGGGGGTGGTGGGGGGTGCGGTTTGACGTGTGGAGGAGCGCGAGTGGAGACGACGAGGGGCTCCCGATTGCTCCTCTCCTGACTGACGACCGATGAACGCGGCCACGGTTGTTGGCCGAGAGTGACGAGTGCGCCTTGCGCGCCCCCCCCCTCCCCTCCCCCCCCCATCAAGCGGCGCGTCCCCAAGCCCGCGACGGGCACCCTCTGCTCCGCGCCCGGTCTCGGGGAAGCGGCTCGGCCGAGTGACCGAAGTCGTCGCGTTCCGCCTCTAGAATTTTGAAACGATTTCAGTCTTAAGAAAAAAAAAATGATTCTCGTGCCCAGACATGGGAAGCTTTGGGTCAGCCGAGCAACAAATTGTTGTCTGTTTTGACGTTTCAAGGGGTACGTGGGTGGGGGGGGGGGGGTTGTTGAGTTGCGGCAGGAGGGGTGAGGGGTTGATAGGCGGCGTGGACGATGGAAGCAAAGAGAGACTCCCCTCCCGTCCCCTGTGTGGATCGGCCGTGCCCCGCCGTGCCCCGCCGAGCGTGACGCGGGGCGCTTCACGTCAACGACCGCACGGGCCGCTTAATCCTCCAGCCGGGCTGCGCGCGCCAGACGTATTTCACTGCTGAGTGACCGTGACTCAATAAAGAGCTAATGAAATAAATAGTTAACAGCCCTGCACACGCGTGGAGGGGCTCCGAGGGTGAGGGGGGGGGGGGACGTGTAACCGCTGTCTCTTGGCCCGAATTACTGCTGCGAGTTGAAGGCGGTAAGCCCAAGGATGGCGAGTGTCCTCGTGGGGGCTCGGGCCGGGGGCAGCCCGAGAGATGACAAAAATAAACTATCGCACGGCACCCAGAGGGCGAAGTCTAAACCAGAACAGCCTCCTCGCGAGAAACGGAGGACAACGGAAAGGCGACCGCGCGTTGACTCGTTGTCAGCGCCGTCGCCGCAGCCTCACCCACGGCGGACTAAGGAGAGGAGGGGAAAGTGGACACGAGAACGATTGTGTTATTCCTTGCACCCAGGGCCCATACCATGCCACTGCTGTGTGTCCAACGAGACGCGAAAATGTGTAAAAAGCGGACGACGCAACGGCATTTCTTTGTGTATTTTGGAGAAAAAGCATCGGCGTTTTATTTGAAGAAGTGCATTGTTGTCGATAAATCACCACCTTCAGGAACTGCTGATGGTTTTTGTTGTTGTTACGTAATGCGCAATGGCCGTGTGCTTTTCACATTTGTGTGTTGTTTGAAACGTAACGCTTTTCTGGCCGGCGCCGTTATTCTGTTACCATTTATTTTTTTCTGGATATTTGCAGATTTTATTTCCGTTGACACCAGCCACCGCTAAGTTACGTAAACCATAAGGACGATGACTGAAGCTGATGATGATGACGACGATAATAATGATGGTGGTGTAAACAGGCTGTAGGAATTGAAAAAAAAAACGAGATTTGTAGAAAGGCTTTTCCATCCAACCCATAACAATTCATGCCACCTCGTGTGAGATGTTAATTAATTGATGTTGACACAAACAGAAGAGAGAGAAGGCTGTGCAACGTGTCCTGCAATTAGCGCCTAATTGGTAACGTCGTACGAACTTGCACGTGTGTGTTTTTCTTTAAATACGCGGAATGATCTGCAGGAGGCCAAGTGCGTGAAACGACGTTTCCTCGGAACAACAGCGGGAGCAGCAGCAGCAGCTATTACATTGATTTCCCTGCCTGTAGAATTTGAGTGTTACCTTGCTGCGTAGAGCCACACAGATCAACGATGATTAAACTACAGGTGGAATTTTTTTTTTAGCAAATGTATCCATTTGCACCCATGGTACACCCCCACCCACCTTCCCTGTGCACCTAACCGTGAGGTAATTACCGCGTGCAGGGCTCCCGTGTGCTTGTAGTGGCTCTGGGTAATGAGGCGTGATCACCGAGAGCACGGCTTAATTACTCGCTGAATATTTTTTTTTCCGGGTCGCTGGCAGACACCGAAGTTATCCGGCAAGTGACCAGCGGTGGCCACGGCCATAGCGAGCGGGCACACGGGATGTGGTGTGCCGGGGACGGAATGAAATGAATCCCAAGGCCACGGCGGTGATTGTATTGGTGGTGCACCGAAACGCCCAGTGGCAGGGGCCTGGATAGGAGCTGGAGAAGGAGGAAGGAAGAGGGAGGGGGTGGAGGGGGGGTAGGGAGGGAGGGGAAAAGGCGGAGGAAGGGAGGCTTTATGCTGTTTGTAATCGTTATAATGAGCAGATAGGTATCATTCGTGGGTCTTCGTCCGTGGGACCAGGCCCTAAGGGGCCGTCCATAAATGACGTCACGCATCTAGGGGGTGGGGGGTTAGACATTTGTGACGATGTGTGACGAGGGGGGGGGGGGGGGGGGTTGAGGAATGTGACGTCACATCAAAATGCGCTACTTTAAATAAATATAGACAACACGTTCTACTTAATTAAATATGCTTTTTAATAAATGTTTTCTCCTACAACATCAGAGTGCAGCGCCACATTAAATACGCACTACAATGACACTAGTTTAAAGCGATTTGAAGCATGTTTTATTTTGGGGGGGGGGGTGGCAGAGCTTTGTGACGTCATATTTGAAGGGGGGTCTGACTTTTTGTGACGCCGTGTGACGAAGGGGGGGGGGGGTCAAAAATCGTCCAAAATCACGTGACGTCATTTATGGGCGGCCCCTAATGACACGTCGCCAGTGCCTGGCCACGACCCAGGCAAGCTTCTGTGACACGCACACTCACCGCCTGGAGAGAACCAGACCTGGAGGCCCGATACTTTGCTCCACCGCTCCGGCATTGAGCGACCCTCGCAGCGAGCTTGGGGCCGACACGGTGTGGAGAGGTTCCTCCGTTTAACTCCGACTTTGTGGTCGCGTTCGTGGATCGCGCCCTCCATCCGTGAGCTCGGCGTGCCCTGCTGGTGCAATGGAAGGGGCTGAGTGACTTGCGCGGAAGGGTGGCACGCCCACATCTGGAACGGAGGCAGCCCCGGGTGAAATCTCGGTCGTGAACGCCGAGCGCCCAGGAGACGGAGCGATGAAATCACTTCATGTATGCACGTACGTATGTTTACCTTCTTTCGCACCGTACGAAGTCAACCGTACTTTTCGGAAGTGCGCGGGAAGGACAACAAAAACAAAAAAACACAAAAAAGCAGTTCTAAAGAAATTAGTTTTCGATCTAGATTTAAAAGTGCATAGCTCCAGTGGCTTCCTGTATCAGAAGCGCATCTGAAAGCAAACGATGCCGTGACCGATGCTTTCGGAAAGACATTTTAGCTACACACGCGCCGACGACACGGTTCGCTCGAGCGACGCACACGCGTGTAACGGTTTCGTGCGCTCCAGTGGTAAAAACAAAAAAATAGTTTCGCCGGTAAAATAAAAAAGAAGAAAAATCGAATCTCAGCGAAACAAAACTGGTAATGAGGCAGCGCAGACGGAGCGCGTTTGTTGTCGTCAGAAACGAGGAGTAGGAGGAGGAGGAGGTTTCCTCCAGCGTCGTGTTCCGTCGTCTCAGCGTGCCGCTGTTACGTCGCTCACGCTCCGCGCGAACAATTCCGCTGCTAATTGCACACGAAACTCTCGTCGTGAAAACTTGAGCATTTCGCTTTTTCTTTGCCTTTCAAAGGCAGGCCGTGTTCTTGCCGCACACAGCAGGAAAGATTTGAATGCATGCGTGGCGAATGTTGCCGTGTGAACGCGGGGTTTTTTTATTTTTTTATTTTTCTAGATTCGTTTTGTGCTGAGAAATTATTCACGGTCATTGTTGCCGCCAACGCGATCATCGTCGTCGTCATCGGTGTCATCGGTGTCATCAACGTCATTGTCTGATGTATCTACGTATATTGAACTTCTTTCACACTGTACAAAGCCAACCGTGCTAATCGAAGGTATGGGGGAAGGACAACACACTTAACACAAATAATATATATGGGAAAACATACGGAAGCAGTCAGCTTCCTAAAAAACCATGGCGTTCCACCCAGAACAAGAGAGATCAAAGACAAAGATCCCCCGTATAGCCTTTAAAATATTTATTGGGCAAGGGCCCTTAAGAAATGAGTTTTCAAACTAGTGCCTTCCTAATATTGGAAGGAAGAGCATTGTAGATGACCGCAGAAGCGCATCTAAAAGCGAGCGTTGCAGTGACCGTTCTTTGTTCGATGTCTAGCCAAAAGTCGCTGTGAGGATGGCCGGAGTTCGCGTGATGGTTTGTGTTCCTTGATGAGATCAGCGAGGTATTGTGGTTTGTTGGTGGCAAGCACTTTGCAATGGACGTGCGGGTGCTGGGTGGATCATTACATTGCAGGGTCGCGAGAGGTGGCGGAAGCTTGGTGGAGGTCTTTATGCAGCAGTGGATTGATCGCGGCTGATGATGAAGACGACGATGTTCATGGTTGTGCTTGGGGCCGTACACACGGTGTGTATTGTCGCACAGGTATTGGCGGCACGAGGGTTGTAAGGGCTTTGTGTAGCGTGTGGGTAGCGACGCGTGGCAGCGCTGTGCCGTCCTGTGTGCTCCCGTGTGTGGGCGTAGAGGAGTGTCCCGGTGGGAGGCTGGCATGTGTGTCCACAGTAATGGGCAATTGATTTAAATAGACGGGTCAAATCAGTGCCAATAATAGGCTCCCTGTCGGCAATAGCCGGGCCAAAAGGATCCATCACTATTTCTCGCCTTTTAAATTTGTTCCTACAAAACGAAATCGATGGATTTTCGGAGCCGGCGACGTTGCTCAGTCAGTTTTATTTTCCCGTCCTCGCCGCGAGTTTGAAGGAGTGCATGGATTTTCAAGACTTGATTCACGGCCCACCACCGGCCCAGGGGCTTTTACTGTTCGCAAACAAATTCCAAGATCAATCCAAGGCGTGATTTCAACGCTCCGTCTTCACAGTGGGTGTACTCTTGGGCTCGTTTCCCTCCTTTGGCTGACACTCGGTCGTCAGTCTCGACGTGTCCTGCCCAAGTTCCGCACGATGTCGACCGACTTGAGTACGGACTCCAATCCACGCGTTCCTCCTGCCGTCTCTCTGTGCTATTCCAAACATGCGCCTCTCCATAATTTTCGGCACACGTTTCGCAGCGTTCATTGCCATTACGAGAGATTATAACATCCACCGTATGCTCGTGGTGAAGCCCCACTCTTCTACGATCTCTGCCCAAACACGCCCAGCGGGCGGCCGACCGCGGCCAAAAATTGCGTTCACCGGTAATCGGTAAAGCCGAGCGCTTCGGCGACTCGTGGCGCCTGCACCGGAGTGGCACGACCGTGCAGGCGTCGTGATCAGTGGCCACCGAGATCTCACCCCGGTCCAAACCCTCACATCCACACGTCTCTGTCCACCGCCACCGCCGCGTCACCCTCGCCTCCCTCGTCCCCCTCCGCCCATTCCCAGCAGCGCGTGGCCGCGCCGATATCTACGCTCAACCCAGCTGCTACTTCCTTCTGACAGTGACGCATCTGGCAAATCGGATATTTGTTCTGTGGAATTTAAACAGCTGTCACGTTCCTGAGTCGTGCGCGAGGAGGAGGCTGAGGCTTGTCTCACTGTCTCCCGTAGCTCACACAGGGCTGCCCTGCGCACGTTCCATTTCCCTTTCGCTACCCACTCGAAATGCCACTTTGAAAATTATCTCTTAGATTTCGCCGCCGCCACCACCGCCGCTGCTGCTGCTTCTGCCTCTGCTTGTGGCGACTGCTGCTGCTGCCTCCTCCGGATGAATCGCCCCCCCCCCCCCCCGTGTGAATTGCACAATGTGTGGCTTAATAGGGCGTCTTTCATGACGCGTTTGAAGCATCCGGCTCCCTCTCCGTATATTTTATGCTGAAGCCAGCGCGATCTCATCGCAATGAGAAGAGTCTCACGGAGGCAAGCCACACGCTGGCTGCTTTTACTGACAAACATCCGCCTTGAAAAAAAACAAAAGAGCCTCAACACTGCGGCGGAATCTGAATTAGGAGCATTTCCAGCGCCGTAAAGGCCCTCCTGGGTTGTAATAAATAGAAACACAAATCAAACCGGCGTATACCTCTTCGTTATTCACGCATTGATTTCTGCAGCTGTTGTCTATGGGAGGACGTAAGTAGGAGTCATTAGGTCGTTAGCGGCCTAAAGGAGGAGGAAGGGGACGTTATGATGTTTGGAATTTGCGAGGGGGTGGGTGCAGCAGGCGGGGGGGGGGGGGTACAGCACCACCAGACGTTGCCCATGGGGTTGTAGGGAACTTCCCCGCAACTACGTCGTGATAACTTCATACTGCTGCCGCTTTACGATTGGGTTCTGGCTAAGCGGTGGCTCAGCGGTTAGCGCGCGATGCCCAACAGTTTTGCTGCGCGTGCTGGGAGACACTCTGGGAGCGTCTCGCAGCACTTGGGGGCGAAACGTCAGACACCGCGCCGAGCGACACGCAGCACGACAACAACAACGCAGTGGCAGTTAGAGCACCGCACCATGAAACCAGCGAGCCCGAGTTTGGTTCTCGGTCGCTGCTAACGTCAGTGGCGAGCGTCGTTGCAACATTCAAAGCTGACCACCTCGCAGCCCCTTGCCTACAACGCCCAGTACTCCCAGGCGGCCTCCCATACAAGTACGAACCTAGCTTCAACCCTGATACTATTTCGGAGATCCGATATGATCGGGCTCATTAGGGCCGATTTGGTGACGGTGTGTGTATATGTTCGGAGCGAGTGGTGGTGCAGCACGAAGCAGAGACTTAAAACGAAACAATAGCATCCATAATACAATCCGCCTTTTTGCCTGATGAAGCTAGTTGTAATTACTGGTGATGCTGTGGCTTTGCTTTCCAACGCACCGGTGCGCTGTACTAGTAACATATTAGCATGTTCTGTTTACGTGGCAAACCTTACTAATTGGCTGTGTCGGGAGGTGGCGGGGTTAACGACACATTTATATTTACGCGATCTAACTCCAAAAAAATACCTGTATTATGGATAAACAGAGGCAATCGCAGCCACTGCCTGTGCCTCTGTGTTTGAGAGACACACAACAACTACTAAAAACTATTTTAGTTTTGACCAGGTAAGGCGCACTGAGCTACATAGCTCTTTTTTCTGAAGCGACCTGGCTATCACAAATGATAGCTCAACGGAGTGGCTTGGCATGTGGAAATTTATAGCAACCAAATACGGTCAGCGCATATTTCTAAACGTGGAGGAAAAAACCGGGAGGACCCAGAGAAAAATCCCCGCGACCACGGGGAGAACGTGCAAACTCGAAATATACATAATAAAGGTTTTTGGGTTAGATCGCGTTTATTTATAAATGTGTCGTAACCCTCCACCACCCGACACGGCCAATCAGCAAAAAAGTGTCACGTTGACAAAAGACAAATAATTCACTACTTTAGCCCACCGGTGTGTTGAAGAGTGAATCCACATTTACAGTTTGAGTACGACGTTTCGCTGGTAAATACATCCAGCATCATCGGGCAATTCCATTCTGGCGAATTGCCCGATGATGCTGGATGTATTTACCAATTCCATTCTGGCGAATTGCCCGATGATGCTGGATGTATTTACCAGCGAAACGTCGTACTCAAACTGTAAATGTGGATTCACTCTTCAACACACCGGTGGGCTAAAGTAGTGAATTATTTGTCTTTTGTCAACGTGACACTTTTTTGCTGATTGGCCGTGTCGGGTGGTGGAGGGTTACGACACATTTATAAATAAACGCGATCTAACCCAAAAACCTTTATTATGAATAATATTGGTCGCGATAGCCTACGTGTTAAACTCGAAATATACAGTAGGCGTCTGGATCGGGATCGAAAACCACAACCTCCTGTACACCAGGCGAGGAAGTTAACATCTCGCCACATGGCTTTCAGAAAATCTGGACATGTGAGGTTGATTCCTGGAGACGGCCACCGGTAACGAGTGACACGAAACAT